CTTTACATACTCACAACTGTAAACCTGCTTTTGCCCACCTCTGAATATATTTTTAAAGCTGGATTATTGTGAAACTTTCAAAGTAAAGCTGTAACATCCAGTGGATGGAAAAATAGTCAAGTGATTTGATACCTAAAATCATCTATTAAAAAATAATACATAAAAATAATAAACAAAAATACACAACCTGTTTTTAAACACTTGCTTATTTCCCCTCTCCTTTCTCCTTACTCGTATTTCTATTCCACAGAATACTGTCTGAATGGAATATTTTGACTTGAAAATCTTTTATTCAGCACCCTTTTGTACGGCAGCTTCACAGATAGGCAGAGCAGGGAATCTTTAGGGCAGCGAAACTATGCTGCATGACACTATCAATGTGGATACCTGTCATCATACATTTGTCTAAAGTAAACTCATCAAATGTACAACATCAAGAGGGACTCCTAATGCAAACGATGGTGTTTGGGTGATGATATGTCAATGCAGGTTCATTGGTTGTAACACAGGTACCGCTCTGGTAGGAGATACTGTTATTGGGGAGGCTATGCAGGTGTGGGGGCCAAGTGCTTAGGGGAAATCTCTGTATCCAGGCTATGCAGGTGTGGGGGCCAAGTGCTTAGGAGAAATCTCTTCTCTCTGATTTGCTGTGAACCTAAAACTGTTCTAAAAAAAAATAAGTCTATTTAAAAAATACATATAAAAACACACACACATATATTTATACTTAATATTTTTTCTTTCCTGTGGCTATAATTTTTTTTCCTCCTGGACCAAGTTATCACTACAATTGTAATTTATACAGCGATGACCATTTATACACATAATGACCAAACAGTAAAATGTATTAGAAAGACTTCAATCATGATGCCGGGTTGGTATTTACGGTACCTTGAGTTATCCAATGGGGCAATTTGGTCTCTGGGGGGGATTTATTCCTCGTGGCAACACCTTTTAGTAAGATCTGGAGGGGAGGACTCGGATGAGAACCGTGACTAGTAGCGACCGCTTTGCAGATCAACTTCAGGACACAGCGTAAGAGAGCTGAGTTCCGTGGGAACTTGGTACGTCCACGCCACTCAGAGACTCTCAATATGCCCTCCATCCGTGGGGAGGCTCACCCCAGTCTGCAGACTGACTCACCTCAGCTGCCCCAGGGGCCACTTGCCACGCCTACTCCCGGACCAGCACTTCCCGCTTCCGGTCCGAGGACGCACGCGCGCCCCCGCCGCGCCCCGCCCCTTCCGGCCCGGGAGGTTTGATTCCCTTGGCGGGCGGAAGCGGCGTGAACCGCAGGATCTGAAAGGCTCGGAGGAACTCTTGGCCTCTCAGCTTCGCCCGGACCCTAAGCGGGCGCCTCTGTCCCTGTGTCCGGCCGCGCCCTGCCCGGTCCTCCGCCCCTCAGGTCAGTGTCTCCCGCCGCTGTCCCGGCAGGGCGGGGGGACGGCGGCGAGAGCCCCGTTTGCTCCCAGCTGGGAATTTTACCGGCGCCCCCACCTTACGGGTCCCGTTCCCTGGATGAGATCTCTAGCTTTCCCGACCCCCCGCTTTTCTCCTCTGTGAGTGGGGATAACGATCGTACTTACCTGCAATAAAGTCGGGGCAGGCAGAGCGTTTGCCATCCAGGCGGCTGCAACAGATGTGAATTCCCGTGCCGCGATCCCATGACCTTGTCTCTGCGAAAGAAACTCACGGAAGGGTTTCCAGTTATTTCTATTCGTGCAACTCAGTTTACTGGGGCAGTTCAGTAAAAAAGGAAAGTGAACTGTGTTATCACCCCTTCCCCACAGCCCAACTCCTTCCTCTCCCTTTACTTTCCCAGAGTAGTGGCTTTCCGGAGGCTCACGCCCAAAGGGGAATATGCACCAGCGCTGTGTTGGTAAAAGGAGCAGCTCGCACCGGGAAACCCGGGGGAAAGGGGACGCTCCCCAAGGGGGCATCCCAAGAGGGATGAGTAGCTGTTCTAGAGCTTCACCTTTGTTATTTCTCTTTGGTTGTGGGATGGGGGAAGGTGGAAGGAGGGGGTGTATTAGAGGTGCCTGGAGTTTTGCTCAGAGGCCAGTGATTTTTTTTTATTCATATTTTGGTTTCTCTTTACCATGTCGTGTGGAAGAAACCAGAAATGCCCTTATTGCACCTTCATGGACCTATGACACCAGTGGATATTTCCATTGTGTCTACTGTGGATCAAGGAGATGAGCAAATCAGTCCCTTAACACCTTTAGGCATGAATGTCTCTTTGCTGGTGCTCCCTGGAGCCTCTGCAAGGGAGCAGGACAGAATGTTAATGGAATGTATTACGAGGCACATAATAAGCTATTCTGTATTCTACTTCTCATTTGAAATATCCTCAGAATCATTGTCTGACCAAGCTCACTAGGTAAGGTAAATGTATTACTCAGCGATGAATAGCATAGTCTTTAGGCCCTAAATAATGCCATGTTAAAAAGAAAATGTCCCCAGTTTGTTGCTGTCCTATAAAATTTAATGATAGACCTCCTCCTATTATCATTCTAGGCAATTTCTTGTTTCCTCAGAGAAATCCAAGACCTCAATTATGTATGCCTCCAATTCTTTTTTTAAACTTTTATTTATTTATTTTTAAAATCTTCATTGTTGAAAGTATTACATAGGTCCTCCTTTTTCCCCCATTAATCTCTTCCAGCCTGCTCCCTCCCCCTCCCCTGGCTCTCACCACCCCTTTATCTGTGTCCATGGGTTATGCATATGCATACAAGTTCATTGGTTGATCTCTTCCCACTCGCCCTCCCCTCCCAATTCTATTTAGCCACACTCAGAATGACATTTAGGTGTTTGATTGGGGTCTAGTTTCCTTCTTCATTATCTACATTTGAGGGGCTGCCTTTTGTTTTGACTGGTTATATATCTCCTTTAGCAGCTATAAAGTTGTATTACTCCAATCACAAGTCTTTTCTGTGTTCAGTATTTCCAAACACTAGAGGATCCCAGCTCCACACCTACATTTAAAAACCAGGTAAAATCTATCGTTATAGCTGTTTGCAGTGTAAATACATTTTCTTATTCAGTAGCAAAAATGATGTTCCCTGGATTGATAGATATAATGCAGGCCCACATAAGTAGTATGCAAAGACAGTTTAATTTGAGGTAAGGGAAGGGTATACAGTGGGGCCTTGACTTACGAGTTTAATTCGTTCTGTGACGATGCTGGAGCTCGTAACTCAAATTACTCGTATGTCAAATCAAAAAGTGAACGAGTGAGACACGTGATGCTGGGCTAATGTTGTGGTGTTCACTGTGACGTTCGCTGCGCCAACTAGCGGTGGGGTATCTAAAGCTGGCTCGTAACCCGAATTTTAGCTCGCAACTCAAAGCAAAAAATCTGCTGAGAGATGGCTCATATCTCGAAAAACTCGTTAGTCGGGACACTCGTAAGTCAAGGCCCCACTATATAAAGAAAATGTAAGAAAGTAAAAAAGAAGGTGTGTGGTTCAATCTTAGATTGATGAAAGTTGATGTTTGCTAGTTGATTAGAGCCCATGATCTGGAAGTTCAAAAGTCATTTGGGAGAAATCTGTCAAGAAGTTAATTATGAAACTGTTATATCCCTTGTCAGAGGAAGTGAATTCCTACACCTTACCAATTGCTTTCTCTCTCTGTGTGGCAAGTTGAAACAGCCCAGTCCTTGTATGGAATTTAGACGGGCAGTAATGGCAATTAAGATTCTTGTATTTCCTAAGGCCTACTTCATTCCCTTTGTGTTTCCTCTTTAGCCCTTGTGTTCTGAAACTGCAGTACTGCATTAGTTGGGGATTGGCTCTCTAGTGAACCTGATAGTCCACTTTTACAGCAGACAACTTTCCAAACAGATTTATAGCCTGACATTCCTCCATTTCCAATCTCCTATTCTTCTTCTCTGTCATCAGGATTCCAAATATTTCTTAGCATTGTGTTGACCTCAATACCTTTACTGCTGTTACTGACTGTTTTGAAATTTCTTAGTCTTATGATTTCTGTTTGTTTGTTTGTTTGTTTTTTGGGGGGGGCATTGGGGGGTGGTTCCCACATTTGCAGAACTGACAAATGCCCTTTCCAAGATTTCTGAATTAGTACTGCTGTTAAGGATATAGGTGCCCAGTGAGAATCGAGATTTCTGAATTAGTACTGCTGTTAAGGATATTTCTAATCTTGTCCCTTAGGTGCCCAGTGAGAATTGATTTTGTCCTCTGTGGTATCTCCTTGCCTGGAGTAACATTTGCCACTCCAGTGGAAGCAGAAATGTTTCATTTTTTAAAAAAATATATTTTATTGATTTTTTACATAGAGGAAGGGAGAGAGATAGAGAGTCAGAAACATCGATGAGAGAGAAACATCGATCAGCTGCCTCCTGCACATCCCCCACCGGGGATGTGCCCTCAACCCCAGTACATGCCCTCAACCGGAATCGAACCCGGGACCCCTCAGTCCGCAGGCCGACGCTCCATCCACTGAGCCAAACCGGCTTTGGCAGAAATGTTTCATTTTATGTCACCAACTTTCCATCAGCTTGAGGACCTGACTGTGCTTCTGCTGTTTTCCTGCCCCATTCATGCAGGTTAAGCTAGATTATAAGGTCAGCCTACTTATTAAGTTGGTCCAATGCCACCCCTTCCTAGGAAATGGCTAATATTGTTTATTGGATCATAATGTCTTTTGCCCCTGATCTTTATCTTTCTTGGTATTTCAGCTTTGATGTTGAGACTAAAACCAGTTGTTTTTTAAAGCTGATTGTTTTTCTTGAGTTTTGATATTTTTCCTTTCCACAGCTTCTGCTCTAGTGCTCTATTCACTAACTAAATTTTTGAAGACTTTTTACTGCTGATAATAATTTACCTTTTATCTCTGAGTAAAATGATTTATGGAATCAGAGTGCTTTAGGCATTTTAAAAGGATATTTTATTTCTTTAAATTTTATTGCACTTACTGGGGTGACATTGGTTAATAAAATTATATAGGTTTCAAGTGTACCATTCTATAATACATCATCTGTATATTGTATGTGTTTACCACCCAAAGTCAAGTCTCCTTCCATCACTATTTATCCCCTTTACCCTCTTCTATCCCTTCCCCCCCGCCCCCCCGCCAAAAGGACATTTAAAAAATATCTTTTGTGGTGCTTGATTTATAGCCTGACATTCCTCCATTTCCGATCCCCTACTCTTTCTCTTCGCTGTCATCAGGATCCTAAACATTTCTTAGCATTGTGTTGACCCCAGTACCTTTACTGCTGTTATTGACTGTTTTGAAATTTCTTAGTCTTATTTCTTCTTTTTGGGTGTGGGGGCTGTGGTTCTATTTCATTCGCACATTTGCAGCACTGACAAATGCCCTTTCCAGGATTTCTGAATTAGTACTGCTGTTAAGGACATTTCTAATCCTGTCCCTTAGGTGCCTAGTGAGAATCGATTTGTCCCTCTGTGATGTTTCCAGGCGGAACTTTGCTTTTGATAATTTCATTTCATTTTTTTCTCCACCTCAACTTAAGAAGATAACCCATCCTCACTGTAGTAAGGACCTTGCCAATTACTCCATCTTTTTTTTCCTTTATAAACCCACTGTACTGCTGAGGTTGAACTCACACTCTAGGTCTTCCAAAGTCAGGACTTTGTAGGTTAGTAACATGCTGATCACTCAGCTCTAGGTAAGACAGGATAAAGAACAGAGAACTTGAAGGTAGTGAGCATGGTCATGCTGGCCACCCAGCCACCCCAGAGCCCTCAGCGGGCTTGCGGGAACTCTGCCTTTGGTGAAGGGAGACTCCCTGGCTCTAGAAATGAGCACTAGCACCACGTTTCAGCTACCAAGAGGCAGTGATCAAGATGTATGAGCTCTGCTCTTTCCAGGTGGAACTTTGCTTCCCAAGTCCCAGTTGACTGTGCCCAGCCTTTCAGATTGTTAGCGAGAATGGGGTCCTGGCATCCTGAACTCTGTGCTGCCGGAGCTAATCCACCGCTAGGTCACTGAGGGAGATTTGTACACAGGAGACAGGCCAGGCGGAGGAGGATCTCATCACTAGCTGGGTCTTTGCCTCAAACCCCTTTGTGAACTCTATCTAGAGCCCTAGTGTGCTGTGCTGGGCTATATGGAAGAGTCTTTGTGCCTGACTCAGTGACCTCCTTTTTCCTGGGCCCCTCTGATTCCTGTTTGTCTACCTAAGGGGTGTGGGGGCATCTCTTCCCAAGGTTGAAATCTTGTTTTGGCCTTCTGCATTAGCCTCTAGGAACAAGAGTCCCTTGAGAAATCATTTCTGTGCAGGTTCACCTTTCACCCCCTGTCTTCTTATAAAGAGAGCCCCACTTTGTAGCACCTACTCAAGTCCTGAACTTGACCTATGTATGGGCACTTTTAGAAAATTTATTTAGAAATATACTTCCCGAAACTTTCTTTTCATAGTTTTACTTTTTTCTTCCTTCTTGGCTTCCATGAAACCGTATTCTTATTCTTAGTTTTCTAACTGTTCTTTCTCTGCCTATTCCTCTTTCCACTCCTAGCCTGTATGGGTAAGGCCTTAGCTGTCTACATTGTAAAGATTTATCTTTTTTAAGTCTTTACACTAATTGATTTTGTGTATGTGTGAAATGGAGACAATCCAATGTTTTTTGTTATTTTTCCCATATGGCTAACCCAGTTCTAAATCTACATTTCCATTTGCTGTTACCTCTAAAAGCAGTTTTAGTTCAGTACATGTCAACTTTTTTTTCCTCTGGGATCTTTGCAGCTAAATTTCTTCTTTCTGGAATACTCTTCCTCTTATTCTTTTTGTGCCAACAACTGTTAAGGTTTACCAACCAAAGACCACTAAGAACACATCCGTAGTAAAAAACATTAGGTGTTTTTAGTTGCTGCTGCAGGAGACACCATTCTCCCTAGGACCTTGGGTGTCTCAGTGAGAGTGAGTTGAAAGGGGCTTATAGGATTTGGGCTTATGCTGCGTGATTTTAAGAAGGGATTAGGAAAGCTATCAAAGAACTGGGGCATTTCAGCATTTGGGTATTTTAGAATACAGTGGGGCTGAGGATGTCATTGGTGAGAAAGCAGCAGTAAGTCAAATAAAGGATCACTGTCATTTTCACAGTTTTGTATAGAAACATTGTTTACACGGTCATGTCCAGGTCCTGTTGGAAACATTGTTCAAGTTTTGGTAGGAATATCCAGTCTGATTACCAGCCGGGCTGATGTTCTTTTTCTCACTTCTCATCCTTTGAATTGGATCTTGGCTTAAATATTACCTTCTCAGTGACTCATTCTAACCACTGTTGCTTATTTCTTTCCCAGCATTTATTAAAAATTATAATAATTTTATTGTCTGTTGATTTGCCTTTTGTCTTCTCTTCTAGAATGCAAGATCCATGAGGACAGGAACCACATTTTGTTTCTTCTCCCTTATAGCTTTAGTGCCAAGTGTGGGTCTGGCACATCATAGGTGCTCAGTAATCACATGTGTGAATAAATGAATGAATAAAAGAAAATTCAGATTAATAGTCTGACTAGTTTTGCAAAATACACTGCTAATCTGTAGTTAAACTCAACTAAGAGCATATCCTCTGCAAGTAAGACAAAGCTAGTATCAGGGTGAGGCCTACTCGATCCTATAGTGTTTTGTAATTCTACTTAATTTTAAAACTCAGGAAGACAGAATAAAATAACTACCTAAGACTTTTACAACAAATTTTTATATATTGTTTGATATATACTTAAGAGTATATGATATATACTTCAGAGTATATGTAAATATGTGAAGCATACTAATAAAATATGTATTATACACTGAGTGGCCAGATATTATGACCGGCCAGATTATTATGACCACTCCATCAGTACTTCATTGACACTTCCAAAAATACTGAATATTGAAAACTTCCTAAGCAAATAGTCTCAAGGTTTTATTATTATTATTATTATTATTTGCATAACTAATTCACTTCATTGAATTGATGGGGTGGTTATAATAACCTGGCCGGTCATTAAATCTGGCCACTCAGTGTATGAATCTTAAAATTGTATATTATTGAATCTTAATTTGCATTTCCCTGATGACTAATGAAGTTGAGCATTTTTTCCCATCTTTTTATTGGTTATTTGTGTTTCTTTGTGAAATGCTTTTGTATTTCATTTGCTTATTTTTTCTTTGGTTGCCTTTTTCTGTATTGTAGGCTTGGAGTCTATGTATTCTGTATAAAAATCAATTGTTATAAGTGTTGCAAATATTTTCTCACATTTATGATTTTTTGAAATGATGCCTTTGGATGTGCAGAAGTTTTTAATTTTAACATTGTTTAATGGAATTTTTATAATTAGCACTTTAAAAGATCCCCTTCTGTCAGGAAATCATGACAGTATTCTATTAAAAGTTTTAAAGGTTTACTTTTCATATTTAAGTCTTTACTTGATTGAAATTGATTTTTATATATGGTGGGAGATAGGAATCCAGTGTTTTTTCATGTGGCTAATCAGTTTTTCCAGTATCATCTATGTGCCCAAGACTTACTTATATTTGCAGTACAAGAGTGGAGCACATAATCTCATACTAGTTCCTTTTTTGATCTTGTACTATTTCTATTTTACAGGTTCTTTTTGTAATTTTGAGTAAACTTCCAGCAGGACTATGAAAGATTATGATGAGCTTCTCAAATACTATGAAATATATGAAACTATTGGGACAGGTAATTGTTATTTTTTCTTGGGGAGAGATGATAGATCAACTATTTGAGAGCCTAGTGTGTTTGGGCAGTCATCGCTTTCTAGTCTAAATTACATCGTTTTAAAATTCTTCAACCTACTTTAGTTAGAAAAAGTGGAGCAAAGGAGAGAAAAATAGTAGGAGAGGCCTTGTAAGTCATTTTATTTAGAATAAAAGTCATTTGGAGAGTGATCTGATCTTTGTTTCTAAGGGTCACCCTCTCTGCTTGGTTGTAAAGAGATTGGGTAGAAAAGGGCCAGGGCAGAAGCAGAGAGATGTTAGGAGGTTCTTGCAGTAATTCAGGTGAGCAGTGCTAGAGATGATGGTGACTTGGTCGAGGCTGATAGTAGTGAATGAAGGTGGTGTAAGGGGTGGAATTCTGTATACAGACATAAACATACGTGTGTGTGTGTGTGTGTGTGTGTGTGTATCCTCCAAGAGCCTTTTGAAAGCATATGGAATAGTGTTTGTGCCTGAGTTCTCAGTTTGCTCTGCTATTGATATTTGGGTTAGTCTTGCTTATCTCTTCATAATTTTCCTACACTTAGGTGGCTTTGCAAAGGTCAAACTTGCCTGCCATATCCTTACTGGAGAAATGGTAGCTATAAAAATCATGGATAAAAATGCACTGGGGGTAAGTTTAAAATTATTTTAAAAATATTTATACATCAGTTTTGTGAATTGAAACCCAAATTTGTTATAATGTTCTAGAATAATATTATTAGAATAATATTTCTCTAGCGTTGTAAATTGCCAGTTCTGTGTAACTGGCAGGTTTTAAAAAGCAGTCTGAGGGAAGGGGTTACTTTGTCCTTAATTGTAATGCAAGGCAGTGGCATATGTATGAAACCTGAAGGATCCATTTCTCTGCAGTTGTTTCATGGTCTTGAAGATTTTTCTTGGTATTCAAATACTCTAACTCAGTGTTACCTATTTTATGGTATAGGTAGATCTTACGTCCTAGAATTTTATCCAAAATAACCTTAGTAGTTCTCTAATGAAATCCTCCTCTTCTTGATCCGCCTTTTTTTCCAGGATTGAGATGCTCATTACCTCCTAATGCAGCTCATTCAATTTGTGATCTTGGTTATAATGTACATAAAGCTTTTTGTTTTTATACTGAGGGAAAATCTGTCTCTTTTGATGATCTTTTTGAGTCTATTATACCCTGTCCCAGTGATGGCGAACCTATGGCATGCGTGTCAGAGGTGATACGCGAACTCATTTTTTTGGTTGATTTTTCTTTGTTAAATGGCATTTAAATATATAAAATAAATATTAAAAATATAAGTCTTTGTTTTACTATGGTTGCAAATATCAAAAAATTTCTATATGTGACACAGCACCAGAGTTAATTAGGGTTTTTCAAAATGCTGACACGCCGAGCTCAAAAGGTTTGCCATCACTGCCTGATCCAGTATTTGTACTCACCCTGAATGGTCTTTTTTTCCCTAATTCAATGTATCATCCTTCATATGGTTTAGTTTCAACTGATAATTCAGGCTCTTCTTCAATATTTTTGTTTATTGAGCTCAATAATATATTCACTAAGCAAATAAAAGGCATTAAAAACATTTTTTCTTGAGCCCTCATGAATGAAATCAGTGATTATAAATCTGATTAAATTAATTTCCTTAAACAATGTAAACTTCAGTTGCAACTTTAGTATGACTTATTCACATGAATACTACAAATACTTAAATAGCAAACAAAATGTGTATTGTTATTACGAAGTGTATTACCAAACTGATACTCAAAATTTATTCTAAAGCATCAGTGTTATAACATTAATTCATTAATTTATTTTTTCTAATTTTTAAAAAAAATATATTTTATTGATTTTTTACAGAGAGGAAGGGAGAGGGATAGAGACTTAGAAACATCAATGAGAGAGAAACATCGATCAGCTGCCTCCTGCACACCCCCTACTGGGGATGTGCCTGCAACCAAGGTACATGCCCTTGGCCGGAATCGAACCTGGGACCATTCAGTCCGCAGGCCGACGCTCTATCCACAGAGCCAAACCGGTTAGGGCTCTAATTTTGTTTTTATATTTTCTGTTGTTATGCTTATTTTAATTACTTCCTAGCACTTTAATAATATTTTGATTACTTCCAGGGTTTTAGTTATCCGACTCCCACTCTTCACAAAAGAGAAAAAAAAGATTATCATATTAAAATAGTCAAAGTTACAATTGATTCTTTGTCAAGACCTGACATCTGGTTGCATGGCCCTAGATAATTGGATCTTAAGCCACAGATCATTAGATTGAGTCCCTTTTTATAATAAAGTTTTACATGTTACTTTATGGATATCTATATTGTTTTGTCTTTAATATGGACTTTGAAATTCCTTCAGCTTGGCTTATCCTCCTTCCCAACCAGCTTTTTATTTTGAAACATTTCAAGCCCCTAGAAAAATTGGAAAACTGAGACAGTGAACGTCTTTATACCTTTCACCTACATTCTTATGGAACATTACTAAGAATAAAAGTGGTAGCTCAGGCATGCACACTAAGTAGAGTTTCTGTCATTTTCTTTGTTTGGAATGCAAACCTTCTAAGGGAATCGAGATTTAAAAATTTTCAGGACTTTGGCTATCAATCCACATTAAGTTTGCCTTTCATAAAACCCTCAAGGCCTTTTTTATGCACATACAAATAGGTTTTGTTATATTTTTCTGTATTGTGGAACACTTTGTTTTGAGGCTGTTGATTGCTTTTGCTACTTAGTATTAATCTTTGATTCTTTCTCGCTCTCTCTCAAATAAATAAATAAAAATTTAAAATATATAGGTTTCAGGTGCATAATTCTAGTAATGCCTCATCTGTTTTTTGCATTGTGTGTTCACCACCCCAAGTCAAGTCTCCTTCCATCACTGTTTATTCCTCCTTTACCCTCTCTGATCCCCGCCCCCCCCCTCCGTACCCCCATTCTAGAGCCTCTTCTAAGAGCACTGATTTCATTCATAAGGGCTTCCCCCTAATGTGCTAATCACTTCCCAAAGGCCACCTCCTAATACATCTTTGTGGGTTTAGGATTTCAACATATGAATTTTGGGTGGGAACAAACATTCATACCATTTCCATTCACTTTATCAATTGTTAAAAGTACGTTTCACCTGAAATATTAGAATAAATGTTAAGGCTTTACCTGTTTGAGTTCTGTCTATAACAATTTATATCAAATAGGCATTTATTATAAATTGGAGATTCATTGTAAATGTACCCTTTCTAATATACTCCTAATGGGGAGGTGCGGTTTAATAGACAGAATATGTTAGAATTTGTCCCTAGGCAGTGGTCGGCAAACTCATTAGTCAATAGAGCCAAATATCATCAGTACATCGATTGAAATTTCTTTTGAGAGCTAAATTTTTTAAACTTAAACTATATAGGTAGGTGCATTTTTATTAACTTAATTAAGGCTTAGGAAGAGCCACACTCAAGAGGCCAAAGAGCCGCATGTGGCTCGTGAGCCGCAGTTTACTGACCACTGCCCTAGGGGGAAGGATTCATTTTAGTTTATATGGTGTGTATGGTAACAAATTACCACCAACTTGGTGGTTTAAAACAACAGAAATTTATTGTCTCACAGTTCTGGAGGCCAGAAATCTGAAATCAAAGTGTGGGCAAGGTTCATTCTGGAGAATCTGTTCTTTGCCTCTTTCCTAATTTCTCATGGTTGCTGGTAATCCTGGGCATTCCTTGGCTTACAGATGCATCGCTCCATTCTCTGCCTCTGTCTTCAAATGGTCCACCCTAATCCAATATGATGTTATTTGATTTGATCACATCTACAAAGAACTTATTTACAAATAAGGTCACGCTTACTGGTACCGGGTTTTAGGACTTCCAGCATATCTTTTTTGGAGAACTCAATTCACCCCACAAGCCTTCAGCATATGTATTATGCAAACCAAACTCGTTTAAGTTTTCCCTGCCCTTTTTGGCTTGAAGCTTACTTAAAGTTTTTTAGATCTTGCATCATTCATCTCTTGTTTCATTTTCCTTAGTCTCAGCCAAATAATTTGTAACTGCACATCATTTTCACAGATTAGCTCTGTTTTAAAAGCACATTTTAAAATTCATAATGCTGGAAGTTTTGGACCTAGAACCATTTTCTTTTTATTACACCGTAGATCCACCCACATGGTCAATAGTGGTGATTTTAAAGTCTTTTTAAAATGCTGATTCCCTTGTCCAAATTAAATATTTAACACACACACACACACACACACACAAAACCACACTAACAAAAAACCCATGAACCTAGGGCAAAATTGAAAAGGTATAAGAGAGTATATATTAAAAAGTAAAATTCTCTCTCTTCTGTATTCCTGTCAGCCAGTTTCTTTCCCTCCTGAGTAAATAACTTACGTTTCTTGTATTTCCTATAGATTTTCCATGTACTTACAAATGCCTATTTATATTTTATACATATGTATGTGTGTATAGCTTATTGGGTTCTGCCACACAAATGGTCACATATTATTCTGTATCTTGTATTTTTCCCCTTAACATTTTAGCTTGGAAACTGTCTATGTGCATTTATAGAGATTTTTGATGTTTTTGTTTTGCTTTACTTTGTATTTCTTTATTTGAAAATGTAAAGTAGGCTTTTTAATGTAAATCTTATTGGATAGCAGTGAAAAAGATTGATTATTGTGGCATAATTTATATATGATAAAATGCACATATTAGGTGTACACTTTGAAAAAGGTACACATCCATGTACTTCCTACCCCAGTCAAGGTATAAATCATTTTCATCACATAGGAAAAGTTTGATGTTAATCCCTGTAACCTCATCCACCCACTGCTCTTCTCAAAAACCACTGATTTGATTTCTGTCACCACATATCAGTTTTATTTATCCTAGAACTTTATACAAATAGCATCATATGGGCTGTACTCTTGAGTTTAGCTTCTTTTGTTCAGCAGAATGCTTTTTGCAAGTCACAATATCAATATATACTCTTGTACCTTGCTTTTTCACTTAATACGGGAGATTGTTTCATTTCAGTTCATGAAGAGCTTTTTTTAAATTATGTTTTTGAGAGAGGAAGGGAGAGGGAGAGAGAAAGAAACATCAATGAGAGAATATCCATTGCTGCCTCCTGCACGCCCCCTACTGAGTATTGAGCCCACAACTGAACCCATAACCTGGGCATATGCCCTGATTGGGACTTGAACCAGCGACCTGTTGGTGCATGGGACAACTAACTGAGCTACACTCGCCAGGGCAAGACTTTTTTTTTATGGCTGCATAGAATTCCATTTTATACCTGTGTCATAATTTACATAGTGTGAACATATTTGAATTGTTTCCAGCCTTTTGTTGTTACAAACAGTGCTACTGTAGTGAATGATCTTGAACATGTGTTGTTTTTGTTGTGAGAGTATATCTGTAGGAACAATTTCTAAACATGGAACTATGAGATCGGAGGCTATATACTATGATAGTATAATTTTAATTGCTAATGTAAAATGAAGCCTTAAGTGGAAACCCCAGTTTACAGAAACATGGAGCTGCTCTGGAGAAGGGATGGAAAGCCGAAAGCTTTGTGCTCTGGTGTCCATTCTCCACAACCTCTAAGGAGCCTCTGTAGAGCTGGGCTCCGTGTACAGACTTAAAATCACTGGTCTTCGGGATGGAGAAGCAGTAATTGCTGCTGGGTTTTTTGGTTTCAGATAACTACACTAAATGTACGTGCCTTAAGATGAGAAGGGGTTTTAATACTTGGCCATAAAAATATAAAACCCCGAATGAACTTAAAAATTAGTGGTAGTTGGTTCTACTTCTACTTACTGGTAATAAAAGCTTGAGATCAAGAGCTATTGTTCTTTTCTGGAATAATTGTTGATTTGTTTGATCCTGAGAGTGTATTTTTTAATATGCCTCACTCAGTTCCCTTGCTTATTAGTTTAATTACTATCTCTAAGTGAACTATGTTTTTAAAAAGATTTTTTAAAATTGATTTTAGAGAGGAAGAAAGAGGGAGAGAGATAGAAACATCAATGATGAGAGGGAATCATTGATTGGCTGCCTCCTGCACGCCCCCTACTGGGGTGTGAGCTGCAACCCAGGCATGGTCCATTGACTGGAATCGAACCCGGGACCCTTCAGTTCACAGGCCAGCGCTCTATCCACTGAGCCAGACTGGTTAGGGCTGAAGTATGTTTTTTATTTTCAATTCCTCTGACTTGAGTTTTGTAAGTAGTAACAATATCTGTGTGATTCTGTTGCTGTTAAGTATTGCCCTGGAGGAGAGCTGTTTGACTACATAATTTCCCAGGATCGCCTGTCGGAGGAGGAGACCCGTGTTGTCTTCCGTCAGATCGTTTCTGCAGTTGCTTACATGCACAGCCAGGGCTATGCTCACAGGGACCTCAAACCGGTAAGTGACTGTCACAGTTAGATGGTCACCTGAGAGTTCAGCATTATTTACTTGTTATGACTAGGTTCTTCCTGTTTAGAATCTATCTTTGCTCCCCCCAACCCCCGCTATAATATATCACTCCCCCCCCAACCTCCTTTTGACTTCTGGTAGGGGTTTTCATTGGACTTATTATTGACATTCTATTTATCTGCCAATTGGGTGTGACATTATAAATGTCTTTGTAATCAGCCATGGAATATAAATTTCAGAATTTTATCTCTAGGAAAAAAGGGTTTTAAGTACTTTCTTTGAGTATATTGTCATTTAATATTTTCCATCCAGTTCTCTTTCTAACCCCATCTTCCTTTAATTTTCATTCCATTACGCCTCAGACAGGAACAGTTCAGTGTGTGGGCAGACTACTTTTCAAGGACAGAATAAAAATGTGAATACTCTTAAGACTGCAGGCTCTGACTAATGTGAATGGTGGTGAACATGGATATTAATGTTGCTTGGTACTAGGGTCAGGGACCTAGAAACGGCCCAACAAAATATGGCAGTGTTACTATCCTTTTCTTATTGTTTATACTCAACCCTAAGATGGGAGCTCATTCTTTTGTTTAAATTTGCCTTTAGCATACATTGTTTGCTTGTAGTTAAACCTTAGAGCACTAAGGAGAAAATGGTTTATGCTAATGTGTCTTGAGGGGAAGTGGGATATAGTTATCAACATTCTCCTCTCTCCCTTTCTATACTTCTTGTCATTTCATTCTTTTTTAAAATGATTTTCACTCTATTATACCCAAGTTTTTAAATATAAAAACCTTACATTGTTTTTAGAAATGGCTAGAGGTGGGATGTGTTATAAGGAAGTCATTATAGTTATGAAAAGATCTTTGTTTTTCCAGGAAAATTTGTTGTTTGATGAATATCATAAAATAAAGCTGATTGACTTTGGGCTCTGTGCGAAACCCAAGGTAAGTGCAGAAATAAAAATTCATCTATTTTTTTTTTTTGTAAATGCACACTAAGGTGTGTTATCTTGCACTGACTTCCACTAAGTATTTATTGAGCCTGGTTGTATCCATTGAGAAGGACGTTAAATTTCATCCCTTTATGAGTTCTCTAAATGACTCTGACACATAACCAAGATAGAGAACCACCAGGTCCAGGGTTGGTCTTGCTAAAGACCCCATGGGTATGCTGAGAGAATTTGCAGTGTTACGAGGCCATCACAGCATGAATGCTGAATTGATCATGTGTTTGCAGTTTGAGTATGTTGCCACTAGATGATGCCTTTGTTTACAGGAATTTGGGAATTTATTGCAAATCTATTCTTTGTTATCCAAAATGGTTATATAACTAACAGTTAGTTACCTTTTGAGAGATGGTCCCATTTCCTTATAAAAGAAGGAAAAAGTCCATATGGGCTTTTAAATTTATACTGTTATGTGTTTTCTTAATTTGCACTCCACAGTTGAGACTGGCATTTTCTAGCATGCCTTCTCTTTGAGGTGACTTTGAACTTTCCACTTCTGCTGTCTGCATCAGAGCTCCTGTGTGGCTGCCTGTTGGAGGCTGCCTCCTGAGTTCTCTAATGATGGCACTCACAGTCTCTACAATGAGCTGTCTGCACTCATTAAGAATGCTGGAACTGCAGACCTATCTGAGCCCTTTGTAGCCCACGGTTATTTCCTGCCCCAATCAGAATTAGCTCGGTGCACAGGGAATCAGATTTTGCCCCTCCGGCTGAATGTCTGATTCTTTCTGATTTTTCTCTCCTTCCCTCGGTACTTCAGAAATTGTCAGTGGAGCCTTGTGTCTTGACACCAAATGATAGAAGGCTTTTTTTTGATTGACAGGTATATAAAGATAAAACATACTTTGAGCAGATAAACTGGTTTAAGCCATGTTCTCCACAGGAGGCAGTGGAGAATGTTTGTGACAGACTCCATTAGCCTTTGCTTGTGGCTGCCACAGATTTGACACACACAGACACCATCTGAAAAAGCAGTGGTGGGCAGAGAAAGGATTGTCTCAGCTTTCTGCTGAAGAGCTCATTTCTGGGCATGTTGTCACAGTTGTAAATGCAGCCTCACAATTTCACAAATCCTTTGCCAGTTGTAGAACTGTACGGCAAGTGTGGGGCAGCAGTGTCATTTTCACTGTGCCTTGATATTTCTGTGGGAGAGCCGAGGAGGCTGAGCAGATTCCTCATTTTGCTGGATCTGGAAGCTCAGGTCGTGATTGGTGTTACAACTGAGACTAGAAACCAGACGCCCAAAGCAATGTTCTGTGTAACATATTGCTCTCTTCTCTCTAAGGAAAAAGAAAGCTCTTCTGTATTTACAGGAAAGGTTTGATATTGGAGATGGCATCCAGTAAAGAAATAATCTTTTTTCCTTGAGTACTTAGGGGTGGGAAGACATGGATGCTTGGAAGTATGCTAAGCTGATTATTATGCAAATGGATGTCTAGGGAAGTATGAACTGACTTGGCTGCACTCAGGGGAAAAGGATTTTGTTCGTGCCAGGCTGTGATGGTATTGGAAATCCAGAGAAGGTGAAACCACACATGCATGCATGCATATAGGCAGAGAATATTGGGTTGGCCCCAGAAGTTTTTTATTATTTGGGGTAATTCGTCATCTAGCTTCTCTTTGCTTGTGCTGAAAGAATGATTATCAAGGTTTTAATTCTCTGGAGAGCTATAATTAATAAGTGTTTCATTTTTATCTTATCGGCAGGGTAACAAGGACTACCATCTACAGACATGCTGTGGGAGTCTTGCTTATGCAGCACCTGAATTAATACAAGGCAAATCGTATTTGGGATCAGAGGTAATTATTCATTGGTTAATTCAATATACACTTTTGGTGACCTATAGTGAGTCGGGCACTGTGCATTGGGGATATAGTGATGAGGTAATCCTTGTGTTCAGAGAATGAGTATATAAAGTAATAAATGAAATGAACAAGTTGCAATAAATATAATACATAGTACACTTACAAAGCAAGGAGCTATGGTGTTTCTGGAGTCCTTCTTGTGGTTGCTTTTGTGTTAAACAGCTCCATAGTTTAGACTGGTTAGTCCGGCCAGGTAGAGAGCACAAGGCCAGGGTGCAGGGTCAGTTTTCAGAGAAGCTGGTTAGCACAGAGAAAATCTGTACTTGGTCCATAGCTAACTATTCAAGGCCAGCAATGTAGGAGGCCCAGCTCAGAAAGCCTGGTCATTGCCTGCTTTACCACTAGCTGCCTCAAGCTAGTTAGCCCCTTCCATTCTCTGGAATACTAATTTTGCTGATATTAATATTGTAAGAAATGTTTAGTCATCAAAAACTCAGAAAATGCTTGCTGGGATAAACAGTTTTCTTTAGTTCAGGACATCTACAAATCTTTATATGTTCTTGTACGGTCCGATCCTTTGGGAGGGGGCAATCACAGATAGCAAGCTAGTTTCAATTTTACTTGCCTACAGAATCCACTTTTTATGTGGAGTATCTTTTGGAGCTAGTGTTAAAACTTTGAAATATGCCAGTTTACTTTATTTGTAACACTAAGATGGGAGCTTGTTTTTGGTGACTTTTTATTTGGATATAATCTCAAACTTAAAGAATAGTTGCAATTATGGAATGAGAAACTTCTATATATATTTGGTTAAATTTACAATTATTTACATCTTTTCCTATTTGCCTTATCTATCTTTCTCTTCATATATATATATATATGTCTATACACACACACACACACACGCACACACTGGTTTTTGAACCAATTGAGAGTGAGTTGGACATACTCCTTTATCATTAAATGCTATGTATATGTTTTCTAAAAGCAAGGGTCTTCTCTTTATAATTGTACTTTAGTTGTCAAAATCAGGAAATTTAACATTGATACAATTTATTTAGTTCACAATTCATATTCAAATGGTGTCAATTGCACCAATAATGTCCTTTACAGCTATATTTTCCCTTCAGTCCAGGATTCAGTTCAGACTCATGCATTGCATTTATTTTTTTATTTTTAAATGTTTTTTTAAAAAACTGATTTCAGAGAGAGGAAGAGAGGGATAGAAACATCAATGATGAGAGAGAATCATTGATCAGCTGCCTTCTGCACACCCGACACTGGGGATCGAATCTGCCACCCAGGCATATGCTTCTATTGGGAATCGAACCGTGACATCCTGGTTCATAGGTTGATGCTCAACCACTGAGCCACACCAGCCAGGCCCATGCATTGTATTTAATTGTCTTGTTTCTTTGGTCTTCTTTAATCTGGAAGAGTTCCTTAGACTCTCTTTATCTTTCGTGACCTGGACATTTTTGAGGAAGTCAGTTATTTTGTAGACTGTTCCTCAGTTTGAATTTATCTGATGCTTCCTTATGATTAATTCAGGTTAAGCATTTTTGGCAGAAATACCACAGAAGTGTTATCTCCTTCTCAGAGCATTGTAGGAAAGGGAAAAAACTTTTACTGAGCATGTATCGTAATTCTGGAATCATGCTAGATCTTCTCCCCCCAATTGTGGTAAAAAATACACATAACATAAAATCTTAACCATTTCTTTTATTAATCTTTATATTAATCTTAACATTCTTATAGATGTCCCTCTTTTTTCCCCCCATAGCTCCCCTTCACCCGGTTCCCATCCCACCCCAGGCTCCTGCCACCCTATTGTCTGTGTCCATAGGTAATACATACATGCATATAAGATCTTTGTTTAACCCAGCTGTGGGCAAACTATGGCCTGTGGGCCAGATCCGGCCCGTTTGAAATGAATAAAACTATTGAAAAAAAAAGACCGTACCCTTTTATGTAATGATGTTTACTTTGAATTTATATTAGTTCACACAAACACTCCATCCATGCTTTTGATCCGGCCCTCCAGTCCAGTTTAAGAACCCATGTGGCCCTGGAGTAAAAAAGTTTTCCCACCCCTGGGATAGAGGCTGATGGGACAGAGGATGGGGGGAGAGAGGGGGG